TGGAAAATAATGTGTTTTTTGAACCTTAAACCTCATAAACACATTTCATTACACCAAATACACAAAATAATGTTCTTTTTAGCAGCATCATATGACCCCTTTAAAGTCATGTAGCCAACACCCATGAACCTTGATTGAATTGTGTTTTTATACTTTTATTTTTTAGTGGCTGCCCAATTTTTTTTTTTTTTGTGCCATGATACCATTAAAATGAACATTAGTTCAAAAATGTACAGTTTTCACCTCTGATATTATAACAGTGATTAAGAATTTAAGTTACGTAGGGTAGACTGAGTACATTTGAGACATGTGTAGCCTACAGTTGGAACACCTTAAATAACTTGCATACACAAGAACCCCAAGCCGTGATTTTTGCTCCACACATGCGTATTAGTGTTCTCTTTGATCGTGGGAAATTTGAAATGTGTGCGTCTTTCCACTCCGAAAATATCGGCAAAAGTTTTTTTTTACAAGGTGAGATTTTCATTTCACCATGCATGTAATTTCCACAATGAATAGCTTATTATTCTTTTATGATTGTTAAACTTAAAATATATCATTGCAAACGTTACTCTGTGCTCTAAAAATAGACATATTTTATGACATTGTGCCATGCAAGGTCTTTTCATCTAGAGAAACGTGCGAGTATCAACTGCACAGTGTATCAACTGTTCCCGGATTGGTGTCCTATTGCTTCACATGCTGTTTAGTTGTACAGTGCTATGATAATAGGTTAAAAGCACATTTACACACACGCTACGCAAATTCTGTTAAAAAATGATATTTGTGATATACTCTATTATTAATGGACATGTTTTCTAACATGAATGTTAAAAGGATTACATAGCATTTTAAGAAAAATACAAGGTGGTAAAGTGGGTACAGTTAATACACCTTTTATAGGTCGCTATGTATACAGTAAATATACATTTCAATCATAGAAAATAAAATGCATATTCAGAGGCCGTGTGTGTTTGTGTACTGGTATTACTACGTTATGGGGACCAAATGTCCCCACAAGTATAGTAAAACCAGTAAATTCGAACCTTAAGGGAAATTTTTTTAGGTCCCCATGAGGATACAAGCTTATAATTCATACAGAATGATTAAAAAATGTAAAAATGCTGAAAGTTTCGAGTAATGGGTAGATTTAGGGGTAGGGTTATAGAATATATGGGTATGTATATTGTTATTTTTACTGTTATGTTTACATTTATACTGTTTGCCATAACTTTTCTAGTGTTAAATATGTGTTCCTATTTGTTTAACTGAATCTGAATGAAATAAAGCAAATAAATAAATCAGATTTTTTTTTTTAAATGCACAACTGTAATTTTGTAATGTGGGTGAATGGGTGTCTCATGGTGACCATGGTACTGTTTCAACTGTACACCATATGGGTACAGTTGAGACAAAAATGCACCTTATATTTATGAGCTAATTGTGGAAAATATAAACTACTTATGGCTATGATCAATTTATGATATTTTAGTACATAAGCAAAAGAAATATCATGTGAAAAATCACTTAATTTCAGCATCTAGTTTTTGTGTAGTGATGAAAAAAGCAGAAAGTGTCTCAACTGTACTCAGTCTACCTGACTCAGAAGTATGCGGACGTCTTTTTGTCGGGAGCTGTTGCCATGGTGAATCATAATTTCGGTGCTCCATTGATCATGACTTCTCATAGTCTTGGTGCACGCGCTAAACTCAGAGTCAACCTACTCAGAGTGGATTGAACTAACTCAGTTCTGCCGTTCTGAAACCGAAAACTCTGAGTTTCCCATCTCAGGGTAAGTCAACTCAGAGTTCAGTGTTAAACTCAGAGTTGGTTGAACCTTCTTATTGAAACGGGCCCCAGGATTGGTGATAATTTCACATGATCATATCAATAATTAACAGAACAGTCCCAGATTGGATTGGACAGGAATCTTCTAACATGGCAAGCTGTTGGGGATAAAGATATACAAGTACATACATAGTAACTTGAATTCTACATATAGTCATACAGTATAATGAGCT